GCTTGACGGGCGAGCATGTCCGGGCACCAAGCCGACCCCCGAAACAAGACTGGGCAAGTGCAGCCCGCCAGTCCGCAGCAGAGGGGGAGGCGGAGGGGGCGGGTCTCGGGCCAGGGCCGTGCCTACCCCGGCAGGCCTGACTCGCCACTCGTGGCTGCAGGACGGGCTGACCAGCGGGGCCCTCTGTCTCCAGGGCTCGGGCGGGCCCCACCACCCAGACTCTGGGAGGGAAGCCTGCGGTTCCTGCGGCGGCCCCCAAGCCATGTCGGCAGCCCTGGGGCGCTGGCCGGAGCCGGACCCCACGCACTGGGCGGCTCAGCTCGTGGCCCCGGGGGGAGGGGGCACTGCAGCAGCACGGGGGAACGGGCGCAGCTGGGCTGCTCCCTCGCCAAGGGGTGGCCGCCCCGACACGTGGGAAAACAGGAGCCGGCCCGGCTCAAAGAAATGACTAGTGGGGACGGGCCTGGACGGCTGGAGCGGGCAGAGGAAGACGCCAAGAGCTGGTCAGGACTCCTCGGGCCGGACAGCGGCGCGGCCCTCGCGGCCGGCAGGCGAGAGTGCCCAGTATCCTCCCACTCCAGCCAGGAGACACCCAGGGCCGCCCAGGGCCCTCCGCTCGGGTGCACTGTCTGCCTCCGGGGAGGGGCTGCAGGGCCCGCGGGCACCTCGCCCAGGCCCCAGGGCAGCGGGCGCCCTCACAGCCGGACCTGCCCCCCGCCTCGTCTACTTCAGGGGACACGTGTGGGGGCCGCGGAGTCTGCGCCGGCTCCCAGGGGCCTGGCTGGCCCCTCCCGCTCCAAGTCAGGGCTCATGGGTGCCCCCAACCCAGCGCAGGCCTCGCCGCCCCACCCGCTGCGCCTCCCTGCCCCGCTGCCCAGCGCCACTGTCTGCCTGTCACTTCCGGCCCACCCCGAACGCATCCAGTAACCTGACGACATTCAGTGACCCCGGACGACTGTCACTTGGGAAGCCTTGGGGTGCCCGAGGCTTCGCCAGCCCCCGTGTCCGGGCAGGCGGTCCCAGCTGCAGCTGACCAGCGGGCGGGGCCCAGGCCCGCAGGGCTCCTGGGCCCACCCAGGAAAAGTCGCGTCCTGCCCGAGCGCCGCCCGAGCCTCCGTGGCCACCCACGGCCCAGCGGAGCCCCCACCCGCCCAGCCGAAGGCGCCGCGGCTTCTCCGCCTTTACCCAGGCCGCGGTGGCCGCCGCCGCTCACCTCACACACATGTCGGCCTCGTACTTCTTCCCGTAGAGGATGCCCAGCAAGGACGGGATCTTCTTTCCTCGGAAATTCAGCGTGACGTCGTAGACAGCGGAGACTGTGGGCGCAGGGGTGAGCCCGGGGCGCACGCGGCTGCGAGCCACCCGCCCCTCCTGCCTCCCAGCCTCGGCCCTCGGGCTCGCCCTCCTCGCCCTGTGGCCGACGGCCCCCGGCCCGTCCACTAACTGGCGTCCTCCCGGCCTCTCTGGGGTGCGCCCGCCGCGGCCCTCCCTCGCCTGTCCGGCCCGCGCCCGGGCCCACCTGTCCCACGGAGGCACTGCACCGCGGTGGTGAAGCCCTTGGTGCGCGGCAGCAGGTGGTACTTGAGCGGGGGCAGCCCCTTGGCGGCAGCCACCTCCATGCTGACGCGGTGCTTCTTCTCCGTGAAGCGGGTACCCTCGCAGTACAGGAGGAACTGGCCGGGCGGGCGGGCGGTGAGGCGGCCCCCGCGCGGACACTGCCCCACGCCCTAGGCAGCGGCACCCAGGCCGGCCGCAGGCAGGACAGGCCCTCCAGGCACGCAGGCCGGCCCCGGGCTCCGGAGGGCTGCGATGGGCCACCGAATTCCCTCACGGAGCAGCTACCGCGGTCACTTGCTCCCAGAGAACGCAAGGGACAACCTCCCAGAGAGGGGCAGGCCCGAGACCCACAGGTCTCGGCAGCAGCCTCTGGTCAGGGTGGGCAGGGAGCCCGCTCGGCCGCGCAGGCCGCCGTCACAAATGAGGGCAGCCGTGCTCCCAGGGCCGCTGACCCGGGGCGGGGGGGGGACGGGGACAAAGGACATGGTGGGGGCAGACGCCCCACCCCCACCCGGAGCTGAGAGCTGGCGCCTGCACGGGCGGGCGGGCGAGCTTGGTGCGGGGGTCGCTGCAAGGCCAGGGGCGCCCTGGTAGGGGTCTGTGGAGAGGCCAGGAGGAGCGGCGGGCGGGGCC